AAAAAAAAAAAAAAGACCTCAGCTTGGTAACCGATATTTACAAAAGAGCAGACCTCTCTTTAGACTACTAAAACATCATTACAGTGTCTTTAGGCTGTATGGTACAATGGAAAGAATCCCAAGTTTGCTATGGTAGTGTGGCTTGAATCCTGGTTCTGCTGCCTAGTAGCTTGTGTGACTCATGGCACAATATTTAATTTCTCTGATTCTCAAATTTTCACTTCTGAAAAAAACCACAAAACTTTACCTCATTAGATCATGGTGAGGACTGCACAAATTTAGTCCCATAGTATATAGGAACCCTTCTGAGAGCTTTCAAGTGAGCTGAGTGTCGAAGGATGAGAGAGTTTTTCAGGCAAAGGTGAAACATTTGCAAATGCCCAGAGTTACAGAAGCTGACAGGGCACTGTCTGCAGATGGTGAGAGGCCTAGTCTATAGTTCTGAGGAGACTGAAGGTCATCTTCAAGGCCAGCAGCTGGTCATCAATCCTGGCTGCAATTAGAGCTCTCTGTGGAGCCATTAAGACCTGCCATTGCCTGGACTTCCCCACAGACCAACTGAACCAATAGTTCCTATATTCCCACTGGTGAGGAAAAGTTGCTGGGGATGCAAATGAGCAATAAGACTGGAGGGCCACTTTCACAGCCAATGGAGAACAAGGACAGAGTAATCCACACTGGTTTTAAGAAAAACATGGCAGTAGTCTGGTGGCAGTAGGAGGATGTAGGGAAGTAGAAAGAGGAGGTAAGGACAGCCATCAGGAGGGGATTATAGTCATCTAGGAGCAAGGAGGCAAGGCCCAGTAGATCACAGGCCAGAGGAAGGAAGACCAGGGCCAGACTTTAAGAACAGTTTCCAGGGCAGAATTGGATGACTGTTGTGAGGAAATGTTATGATTGAAGGATAAGGCCCAGGTTGCTAGTTTGGAAGACTAGATGACACCAAGACAGGAGAGAGGGAAGGCTTCATTTTCAGGGATTGCTGGGAGTTTAAAACACACCCTTGCAAGTGATGGTTATAGCCTTCTCTCTGAAAAGCAGAGTAATAGGAACTGCTCGCATAGCTCCAGCAATTGGGGATTCCAGCAATTTCCTTGTTAAGGGGATATTATGGGTCTGTCACTCTACTGGACTCAAAGAAATAAAGGAAGAAGGTAACATATAGTCCAGTGTCCTGTGCCAAAGAATGTCTTCAAATAGTGGTTATTTTTTCTAGTCTATACAGGGTCCAGGCAGAAATATCCTCATGTTATTCCAGATAGGATTCTGTGTATGGGGGGGTGTCTGTTATAGCCATGCATGTTAAACGCAAGGATTACTCAATTACTGTTTTTTATATTGCAGATTTTTTTTTTAAGATATTTATTTATTTGACAGAGAGACACACAGCTAGAGAGGGAACACAAGCAGGGGGAGTGGGAGAGGGAGAAGCAGGCTTCCTGCGGAGCAGGGAGCCCAATGCGGGGCTCCATCCCAGGACCCTGGGATCATGACCTGAGCCGAAGGCAGACACTTAACAACTGAGCCACCCAGGCGCCCCTTATATTGCAGATTTAATTATACATTCCCATTTTCAAAAAGTTGCATTCCCCCCCTTATGACTGTAACTAAATTCACTTAAAGCAAGTTGACAAATTCACAAGCCGCAATATTATGTATTCTTATCTTTTCCTAACTTCAGTTGTAGGGAGTAAATGAGATTAAGAAATGTGTTTTACATTCTTGTGCTTAAAGCAAGCACACCTATAAATATATGTATTTTAGTGTATTTGTGTTTACTATAGAAAGTAGGGTAGCTTGGAAGGAAATAAATCAACATGTTTAAAAAAGCTGTCCTTAGGTAGTGGGGCTATGTGTGTGTCTTTAAAAAATTCTATCTACTTCTATGTATTTTCTAAGTTTTCTGTAAAGAAGTGGTATTATTATTAAGAAGTGAATAAAGTTTATTTGTAGAAATGATAGTTTGGGCTAATATGGAATATTTTTACCATGGAAGGGAAATAGGCTTTACCTTAACCACCTTCAGGATGCCTTCATTAGTTCTGGGATCAGTTTGTATTTCAAACCAATTCCCTTCATTTCCAGAGGTAAAGAAATACACTGCAAGCCAATTATCTGTGAATTCTTCGTCCCAATCTATAACTTGAAATCGAAGCAACTCAGAATTTAAAGTATTTTCCTCAATATGTGCTGAATACTAAAAAGGAAAGAAGCAGAATTTGAGAGTAATTGTCAGGTTTTATCTAAAGAGATTATATTTTATTCTGAATAGCATTAACCATTAATTCTCAAATTATGTGTTGCCTCTTGCTGGTTACTAAATTCTTATATTTGACAAAAGCTTATTTTTTTTTAAGAAAAGTGCAGAGAACTTAAATAGAAGCCAGGAACAGGCAAATACTGAATTAGAATGGCAAAATATAAGCTAAAAAAAATATATATATAAATTATTCTTCAAGGAGGGCAAGGTATACCTGAGATTCTCTGAACATTGGGAAATTATCATTAACATCTTTCACTTTGATACTGCATTCACATTGAGTTGATAGTCCTTCTCCATCTTTGTCGGCACCACTCACAACCAGACGATAGCTGCTAACTTGCTAAATTTGGGGAAAAATAAAGGAAAATAATTAATCTCCAGTGCCAGGAATACAAATAACAACTACCTGCTTCCTATGGGTAAAGAGGTGAAAATATTCTTCTCTAGAAGGATCATATGAGTTGTTCCATTGTCCAGCCTAGAGGAGGCATCTGGGGTCCTGGATAGTCGGACAAGTTTTTATGGGGCTAGACCAGGTTTCTTTTTTGTGAGCTTCTTAGGGCAAGAAAGTACACTTGGAGCAAAAACGGACAGTGAGGATGCTGGGATGCTTATTTGAGGGAAGTTTACTTACAGAGCTTTCCTATTGGTCTTTTTGGAGAATCATTTGCGTAGAAGTAATATAAAGTCTGACAGGGTATTGTATGGTGATAAAATGGTGGTGGTGGTTATGGTGGTAGGATGATGGGGAAGAGAAAAAGAGGATTCTTTAGTGTTCTGGAAGCAAGGGTGACATTAAAACTAGTTAGTAGAAAAAGTGTAACATCAGAGAAGGCTTTATTCCAGGGAGAAATTTCTTCCATTGTCTGAGCAATTTCCTTTTCCTCCACCAAATAAGGAATTAGTCACAGTTCAGTCTTTGTCTGTGTATGCCTCAATGCCTTCTTTTACTTTCCACTTGACCTCCCACTGATATGCTGATACTTGTTTTTAGGGTACAATTGATTGTACAGTTCTTAGGTACACATCTCACCCCACCAGAACCATATTGAAATGCAAACAATTTCCCTAGATTGGCCCAGTTGAGTATGGAGAACTTCTTTTCCTTTCTCCTTTCATTCTCAGGTAAAATGGGGTCACCTCTCTCGGCTTTCTTACAATCAGATCTTATTATTGAATGTGCCCAAGTGCCTTGCTTTACCTCTCGATCAAGAGAATTGGTTAAAGTACGGACTTCCCCAGTGTGTCTGCTTAGGAGGAACATGGGTGTGCCTGCAGGTTCCTGAGAGACAATTTTGAAGGCAATTTTAGAGTTCAAGTGGTTTGGTTCATCTGCGTCTGTGGCATTTAATATCATCACCAGTGAATCTAGGAATACAGAAGAAGCTCATTAAAGAATATGTAAGAATTGACATTCTTTTCACATTAAATATTCAACACAATTTCAAATTGACCTTTATTTTTTAAAATCTTAAATCTGTTATGCACAAAAACAAATTACATGTCATTTGCAGTATCTCTTACTGTCTCTCTTAATCAGGTGGAACTGTGCTGCCTTCTGTAAAAATCTTTCTGTTGTCCTTAAGCCTTGGTTGTGTTGGAGTTGAGACTATTTTCTGTCTTTATTTCTTCCCTTGATGGGTGGCATTGTCACTCTCCCCTTTCCCCAAATTATCTAAGTAATTGAGTGTGTCTCTGTCCTTTATAATCTAAAAAAGTCTAGCTGATGCATCCAGGCTACCTAAGGCCACTCCTTTAGTTTTATGACTACCAGGTACTCATGTGACTTACATATAGAGAGTAAGATACTATTGACTTGATAACAGGACCACGACCTAGAAATACAGTGGCAGTGGATAATTAGCTCAAGTACAAATATTAGAAAGGAAGACCCAGGATATTTGGATGAATTTTTCTGCAAACTACTGATAAAACCAGGAGAATAAATTAGCTAATAAAAATGATATACTATAGTGATACCTGTATTTTAAAATTAAAAAAAATTGGAAGTGGTAGATAATGTAAAAGACTTACTTGAAGCACTATTTTCTTCAATTTCACCCATGAATATACTTTGTGAAAATACTGGAGGATTGTCATTGACATCTAAAATTTTAACTGTTAATACAAGTGGTTTCTCTACATTCTGTCCTAGGGCATTTAGAGCATAACACGTGATCTAGAAAAAGGAGGGAATTGTTACTTATTACTCTACAAACTCAGTTTGCATACTACTAAAACTTGTAGAAATAAAGCTCGACTAGCATGTACAGACTTTTTGTGCACAGAAGGAAAATGTTTCCCCAAAAAGTAGATAAAGGAAGAAAAGGTGCCCACACTGGGCAGGCCTGTTAGGCAAGCTGCCCCTTCTTCCAGGCTGGTACTGTCTTATGGTACAAAGAGGGTGATGCTCTTTGCAGGATGCATGTTGGATTTCAATGCGTACTCCTGCACCCTCCTGGTATATTCCTTCAGGGGCACAACTGTAAGTGAAGGCTCTTTAAAAGAGTGATGAAAATTGTTATTTATTGGTGGATTGATTCGTGCACTGATCTTTCTTCTAAAATAACCAGTAGAAGAGTATCACATTATAAAGCCACCGGGCACAAACAAGGGTGCCCAATCATGAGGACACAAACTTACCAGGAAGCTTGGAGTTTCCTCACGATCAACTATGGCTGTTATGTTAATTTCTCCAGTGTTTTTGTCAACAACAAAGATTCCAAAAGGGGGTTGATCAATTCCCATTCCAGAAATTCGGTAGGTAATTTTCTGGGTTGCTTGGAAATCTGAAGTAATCTGCAGCCCCAAATACCCAAAATGTGAATGTGATCAGCAATCAGACCTTTTCCTTCCCCTTTTCTCTACCTTCATAGTCTTAAGTCTTCTGTTTATTTTATTCACTCCTTCTGACCCTGTGATGGTTACTTTTGCCTTAATGAATACTGGGAATGTGAGATATTTCGAACTGTTGTTTCTATTGACCAGCATGGACCAATACGCATTAATCATTTGGCTCTAGAATGTTTGCCCAGATTATGGCCACCATGGTGATGTTAAAAGGTTGAGAGAAAGTCATGGATACTTAATATTGACAAGACTACTTCTGAATGCTCCTTTCCTTAACAGAGAACATTTTTTTGAAAAAGACATTTATTTTAGTTTAAATAGGGGGAGCTGGAGAGAAAAAGGGGAAAGGATTATACAGTAAGTGTTAAAAATATTTATTAAAATAGGGCGCCTGGGTGGCTCAGTTGGTTAAGCAACTGCCTTCGGCTCAGGTCATGATCCTGGAGTCCCTGGATCGAGTCCCGCATCAGGCTCCCTGATCGGCAGGGAGTCTGCTTCTCCCTCTGACCCTCCCCCCTCTCATGTGCTCTC